CACTTCTGTTAAAAAGCAAAAGTCTAGTAAAGGATAATAAAATGCGCTTCCACTTTTGTTACCACTTCCGCGTATTCTTCCCAGTTTCTAGCTGTACCCTGGTACTAAGTTTATAAATTATTCGTGCATGTGAAATGAGCGAGATGAGCAATAAGTGCGATTTAAGCACTGAATAATGTATAGTTTTCTTCTACTAGGAACTGCAGGATCAGCCATGAATTTCATTATTTACTTTACCTTTTTTGGTATTTTTTAATGAAGAAATCATTGAGTCTCATTAATCATAAGATTGATCTGCTCATAGTGGCCAAATCAGATTGAAGATCCAAACGAGGTTACTGAAGTTTTGAATGAGAACACTTTCTATTTTTGTTTATACTGTTAGCACATGCCAGTGAACAAGAGTTTGATTCAATGGGTAATACTTTCTAACCTAGCCACGCTATGTTCGATGCTTACCCTCTTACGAAGCTAAGACCTCATCTGACAGAATCTTAACTCTTAATTAAACATTATTCCGACTTATGATCCCGCCAAGAGAAAATTCAAATGCTCAGATGATAAGCGTATACGCTATGGTGAGCTCAAAAGATGTTGCTCACTCTCGCCAAGAACTAAAAGATCAAACTTCTCCTTCTGAGTTTTTTTGCAGCATTCAAAATTAGACAAACATCCTTAGAGACTGAGAATAAGGCGGAAGAAAGCAGATGTTACAGCTTTCTTCTTATAAAATCGTCTACATTTTGGATACAAATGCCGTCATAACAGTGGTAATACTTTGTTCAACTTCCTTTGCAGAAGAATGCGAGTACAATACAACAATGATTGTTAACAGAATTTATTTTTGGAAGTCATCGATTTAGGTTCTCCATTGTAGAGAAATGGTCGTCATGCGCACTGCATACTTCTGATACATTGGCCTAAAATGGAGCACTTAATTGGAAAAAAAAGGAAAAAATTGAAGAAAAATGGAACTGAGAAGGAGTATGCAGGAAAATCGAGAAAATTTGTAAGCAAAAAATTGTACTCCTCTTAGGCACAAGGTTGCTAACCCAAGTGCTTATGAAGGCTTTTAAATTCCCAGGGAATACAGTGATTCAATAAAAATCACAAAGAGCAAGTAGATGTGAAACAAAGAATATTTCAAAACCCTGTTTACATAAGCTTTTTTTCCCATTAGTTTTGTGAGCATTTTGAAGGCTGCAAGAGGAGATGATTTCGGAAACTCATGCACTAAAATCAAAGTTAATTTTTGTTGTCTTTTGTTCAGAGATAAGAAGTCGATCAACGAGATTGAAATGAAGAATAATCGGATTGTAGCGCTTGAAATTTCAATTAAATGCATGTAAACATGTTTCTCTTACCATTAGAGAAACGATT